AAAGTTTAATTTTTTAAGAAAGATCATCCAATTGACATATTTGGAGGACAAGAACATCCCTAGAGTTTTGGATAATTTTAAATATTGTTGATTTTGCTTTACTTACAGATGATTAGAACCATAATATATATATTAAATGAGAATATTTAAATAATATTTTAAGCTTCATATTGAAAATATACCCTTCTAATTTATATCTTCTATTTATGTAAATAATTAATGTTTGAGAATTTTATTTTAAGAATGGAACCCTCTGGTTGAGATTTACATTCAACACGACAATCAAAAGAGAGAAAATTATAAAGTGTTGGTATTTATATTTACTTAAAAATTATTCAACATTAAAGGCATCAATAATGTTAACTTCAAACCTTGAGAGAAAGGAATAGACCCAACTTAATAAGGGCTCAAGCCTATCCACTTTAATCCATATAAAGAGGATTTGACTGACTCGATGAAAGCTAATCTTTCAAATCCGATCTTTATGAGGAGAATCTAACTAACTAAGATGAGACATATAATCTTATCCGATAAACAAGGTGGCTCACTCAAGAGTATGTGAATATTTTAATTTGACTTCCGATAAAAAGATTTTCGCATTGCTTAAAAATTCATACACTACTCAATGCAAATTTAACTTTAATTTGAACTTTTTTTAAGCCCGCAAGAATTCTCAAACCATATAATTGAGGCTTTAACACTGATTAGAGCATATGTGGGTATTTTAAAATTTAGTTGGACCGACTTTAAAATCTTCACGTGTCTAAGTTTGAGCTAATTGACACGAGTTTTAAGACACAAAGTTTGAATGAAAGATTAAATCTAAAAATTAATTAAAATTAACCAATTATGCAAATGCCTCAATGCATGCAAATCCAAACTTTGACCACTTCAAATACCCGCCCCTCTTCTTTCGCATGTAGATATCTTACAGACCCGGTGTCGCATAAGACTTTTTAAGTTCAATCATTACATTTTGCTCACACTTAGCTCACAGTTTAGTATTCAAATTGATCCTCCATATTATCACCCATTTGCCTTTAAACTATAACTCACACTTTGCCTCTTTGGAAGCAATCATAGTTCATTGTCCTAATTACTCTAGAATTCAGTGAGAAGGTCGTTTATGCTCATTTTCAGCTAATCTCATTCAAGTTATTTTTTTATTATTTTTATTCATACTCATAGGCATAGAGGTAGACCAAGAAAAACTTGGGTTTATTGTATAAAAAATGAACTTAATTTATTAGAACTAAATGAAAATATGACACTAAATAGGTCGTAATGGAGAAAAAGGATTCATGCCGACGATTCATGTAGCCGACCCCACGTAGTGGGATTAAGGCTTTGTTGTTGTTGTTGTTGTACCGAAACAATGAATTTACACGTAACACGATCAAACTACTGAGAATTTGATAAAAATAAAAAATATGGGATGGGATTTTACCATGAATTTTGATATTTGAGTGAGAATTTAAAAAATGGATGAAAGATGGTGATTGACTTGTAAATAGCAAGTTTCAAGTGGTTTAAATGTAATTGCCTCTAATTTAAACCATTAAAGTCATTTCATTTTCAATTATTTTCTTTTAATCATAAAAAAGATCTCATGCCTTTATGAAATAAATAAAATATTTCTTTTAGAACAATATATGTTCATTTAAGTTTACCTATATCGTTATGTGTTTTATTCTTTGAAAACAAAAATACATTTAAATAAAACAAACTAAATTTAATATATATAAAAAATAATTACTCAGTCAACCTCTTTTTTTATTATTTTTGCAGTCACTTAATCTTTGATTTCCTAGCATTAATTCATAAAATTTGCTATTTAATAAATTTCAATAAATAATTATTTATAATAAACTATAAAATCCTAAACTCACATCAGTTCTTTCTTCTAGTTGCAAAATTCACGATCCAAAATCGCAATTCTTTGAATCAAGAGTTTGTTGAACCCTATTTAATTCATAAAATTTAAATTAAAACCAAAATTTATATTAAAATAATTATCTCAAATAAGATAATAAACCCTAACATTCACCATCTTCTTTTTCCTGTTTGAAATCAATGATTACAATCTCCTCATCTTAAAATCAATTGTTCTTCAATCTCTATTTTTATTAGTAATTAATATGATTTAATATTAATATTGTAATAAACATCAATTTTAAATAAAAAATTTCAAAAGATTAACTTCATTTACCTTAACTTTTTCCCTCATCGTCATCCACTCTCCTCGTTCCAATCCAAATATCCTTTCTTCTATGCTTTCTTACTATAATTAACAAAATCTCAAATTAGAATTAACATAAAATAACATTACTTTAACTTTGTTATATTAGTTTTGAATAAAAATAAAAGAAAATCATAACCTTTTTTCTATGTCAAAATCACCCCTTTCTCACGTGAGATGCCACTCCGCCTATTTCATTTGCTCTCAACCGTCTCAGGCCCACCTAGACGCACATGACGACGCTCCTAGCAGTGCAGACGCTATCTTCGCACGGATTATCTCCTGAGTGCGGCTTCGACACAAAGAGCCCGTGCGATGCTCCTCTATCCATCGCACATGACGACCTCTCCTCATTCCCTCGCACATGTAGCATCGTCACCCAAGTGTGAGCACTTCTTCACTATCGGCGTTCGTACAACACTGTTTCCTCTTGTCGCTGCTTCCAATCCCTCCCACGCACAACCAATCTCTCTTGATCCTCAAACGATTTCAAGCCCTCATTCCACCCTCTCAAATTCACAACTCTCGCTCTCTTTTCTTTGCGACTCTGTTTCAAATGAATTCCTTCTTAAACACGTAACTATAATGTAAATTATCTCAAACCGATTCTAATGATATGAAAATTTTCCTCCCAATCTATTTATTATTATTATTATTATTCCAATTAGTACAAAGCACCCGTGATACAAGCAGTATGGAAAAGGCAGAGTTGGTAACCAAGTGATTTTAAAACACTTGTTAAATAATAATAATTTTTATTTTTATTATTATTATAAACAAAGATACAATAATTGCATATATTTAATATAATAAATTCTCTCACTCCCCCCTTTTAATATATTGGCATGTGAATCGAACCTCACATGCATAATTGTATTGCTAGCATGTCTAGACCTTTATGCACCACCTCTCATGCGGGTATTTTTTTTGATTTATTCTTGTCCAGCAACCAAAGCAATATTGGGGCCTGTCTAATCCATTTTTGATATTTCAAACATATTTGCATAATTCATTCCTAAAAACGCAGCCAATAGAAACATTGTTGCCTCTTGTCGTTGCTTCCAATCCCTCCCACACACAACCAATTTCTCTTGATCCTCAAATGATTTCAAGACCTCATTCCACCCTCTCAAATTCACAACTCTCCCTCTCTCGCTCTCCTTTTCTTAGTGACTCTATTTTAAATGAATTCCTTCTTAAAACGTAACTATAATGTCAGTTATCTCAAAATGATTCTAATGATAAGAAAATTTCCCTCCCCATCTATTTATTATTATTATTATTATTATTATTATTCCAGTTTGTATAGAGCACTCACGATAAAAGCGGTATGGAAAAGACAGAGTTGGTAACCAAGTGAATTTAAAACAATTTTTAATAATTTTTATTATTATTATTATTATAAACAAAGATACAAGAATTGCATATATTTAATATAATAAATTCTCTCACTCCCCCCTTTTAATATATTAGCATGTAAATCGAACCTAGCATGCATAATCGTATTGCTAGCATGTCTAGACCTTTATGCAACACCTCTCATGCGGGTAAATTTTTTTATTTATTCTTGCTCAGCAACCTAAGCAATATTGGGGCCTGTCTAATCCATTTTTTATATTTCAAACACATTTGCATAATTCATTCGTAAAAAGGCCACCGATAGAATGCAATTTAAGTATTTGAAGTTGGAGTTACAATGCTTATAAGCCAAAAAGAATGCAATTTAAGTACTTGAAGTTGGAGTTACAACACTTATGTTGGTCGTTATTCTCATCCCGTTTAATCCAGTTGGGTTGTGGAGCATACTTGAAAGTCAAAATGGGCTTTTATTTAATATTTTATAGCAGAGAGTTTTTGTTAAGCAAGAGTATTATTAGTAAAGTAGCAGAGCAAAAGAACAGTAAAGTCCTTGTTATCAATTATATTGACCTGGGTATGATAGTATTAAGTGGTTTCAATTGATTATATAATTAGAAACAGGTATAGGTTGTGTAGGATAAAACTTTGAGGTTAAATGAAGAACTTACTTCTATGTGCTCTGCAATAAGAGAACAACATCCAAATATATTGGCTGAATTTGAGTGCAGGAGAGCAAACAAGTCACTTGTAAATAAGTTAAATGTGACGACGGTAATATTAAAATGGAAACATGTTAAAATTAGGAATAATAGAGGGGCTACAAGACGTTATATCTATTAAAGATAGGATACTAACAAGTAGATTCGAGTGGATTACACAATACATAGCAAAAGCCAAAAAAGGTGAAAAGAAAGCAAGTAAATTAAATTCATGTGTAATTATCATAAAGAGGGGTAGACCAAAGGGTAGACCAAATATAAAAAGGCTAGAAGTAATGCCAAAGTCTTGTAACAAATAAAATTAACAGTACATCAAGCAATCAACAAAAGAAAAAGAAGAAGAAAGATTCATAAAGCCATTAAACCCAAAATAAGTGGGATGAGGTTAATCATGATGATAAATTCGCTAACTATTAATTAAATGGCTCATGAAAAAAAATTTATATTTATCATCGATTATTCTGCATCGAAAATTAAAATTGGCCTCAACTTTTATATCATCTTGTAATTGAGAATGAATACCTAGCATTTCAGAAACCAACAAATATTCTAGCAGAGGCCATACATTTTGTTCAAAAATTGTATTAAATGAACGCTTAATTAACTAAAAAAACACAATTATGAAAAACTAAAGCATGCTTTTTAAGAAAAAGCTGTAGGAAAAAATGGGATCAAAAACTTGCCTTGTAACATCATAACACCCATATAGATCAGAGCGTATATAACTTTCTAGAACCGACTCGTCCTTATATAATTTTGCCACCATCTAAGAAAAAAAAGAGGAAGGACCAACTTGGTTAAAACACAATGGCAAAACAAAAGAATAAAAAATAAATCCAAAAATAAGTAATGACAAATATTTTATTTAAACTTTTGTGAGATCATAAAATTACATCATTTTGGAAAAGGAACTAATTAAATTGTTTTCATAACTCCACTAAAATCTCCTCCCAAATTTATGCACATAGAACAGAATCAATATCTTAACACAGATGCAACTCCATCTGTCAACATTTAACAGCAAGTATAATTGAATAACAAGAAGCCAATAAACGTACTAATGTCATACCAATCTAATAATAGCTTTGTGTTGAAGAGGAAGAAAAAATATAAGGAACTGGTATAGCAAAAATAACAGCTACTGGATCATTTTTGTGAACAGCATAGTAGCCCAAGGCAACAAACACTAGGGATGGAAAGAAGAGTATGATGCAAAAGGCTTCTTGGTGAATAACTCTATTGCTGAGACGAGCCCATAATGCATAACGATCAGATTGACAAAAGTAACAGCTAAAGTCAAGACATTAGCATGCATACACCGCAGGCCAGTGCTGAGTGAGAATAACTCGGGGCAGTGCTGAGCAAGGTAATCTACCTATTTTGTTTCATCTCAAATCAATGTGAGTGGATGGTTGGCAACCCCAGGTCCCAGAAATGAACCAATTATTGATTCAAGAAATAAATTCTAACAGCTTCTATGTTCTTGAATCTTGTTTGCATTTAAATCCATCACGTTGAAACAGCACACTACTCAATTTAATCAGGAATTCTAATGAAGGTGTTAGTCAGCCAGCAATGGTAGGTAAATCGAACAAATGCAAAATAGCCTGAGTTTCAGATTTAGATCCCTGAGGTCCCGGGTTAAAAGAAAACAGCTTTTATTAGGGCATGGGAATTTTATTGGTCACTGTTACATCTAATCTTGAACAAATTTAGGAACAAATTGTAAATTGGGTCTAAAATAACTGTGGTATACCTTATTCACATTTCCTGTTGGGCTGGAAAATAAAAACCTGACTAGTATTCCTTAAATTTGGATGGCTGCTTTAGTCCCAGTGTTAGGCATGAATTTTTTTTTTAAATCCTTTGTATACTACCAATGTTAAATTTTTGGCATTAGAGCTCAAGATTTCGGATACTGCCTAAGAGAAACCAAACCAGCAAATCACAAGAGAAAGATATGGATAAATTAAAATGTGAAATTCAAAATAGAATAGCAGCATTGACACAGGAGCTACCTCCAATGATTGCGGGATCGGAGCGGGACGGGCTACTGTCCGGTAAAATTCACAAACAAGGGATTTTTCCCACCTGTTAGGCTTCAGATAGGCCATGGGCCCCTATTTAATATTATTTTATTTAGTATTAAGGTGAATTTGCTTTGGAACTATATGTTTGTTTTGTTTTTGGACTGGTTGGACAGCTTTTTGCTTGGTTTATGTTATTTGGAAAGTTGTAATCTATTTTTCTTCAAGAGGTGAATTTGTATTTTGAAGAGAACATGTAGTAGATCCTCCCCATCATCTGTACCTCGTTATTCTACTGTTTGCCTCAATGTTTTCAATCAGGAGCCGTCAAACTGCTGTTCCGGCATGTCATTCTACGTCCAACGGTAATTTTTTGTCATTCCTCAACCACTATCACCATTCTCACTTTTGTTCCTGATCCTACAACCCTGCTAACCCATTTCCTAATCTTTTCACACCGTCAAAAAAACCTAGATCCGTGTCATTTTGTATCAAAACTCGGTAAATCTTAATTTTTTATGGATTTTTCTTTACTATGCCTAAGCCTAAAATCCACAAGATCTAAGCCTTCCACAAACCCAAAACTCTAATCTTTTCTACCACAATTTGTAGCCCTAAACCCAAATTATCAAAAGCTAAGCTTCCTGCCTCCACCAAAAATTTGTTTCGACACCTACCACAAAAACCTCAACCCTCAAACAACCCTCGATCCACAACTTACCATCAGTTGAAACCTAAAGTAAGGAACAAGTTTCTATGCTGCCAAGCAGAAAGCATCAACGAGATATTCAAGAGCTTACTGTGAATGATATGTAAAGCAAACTCTCCAATAGCAACGGAAGGCAACATGAAGAAGTCACCCATAGAAATAACGGTGGGAGGGTTAACCAAGAAGCTTCAAGTAACACAATGCAGGTGTCACATCAATTCGATATTGGGTATAGAGGAGAGAGAGTGACTTTAGAGTGAATGTTGATTTGTCATATTTTGACAGTCGTACGAATCCAAATAATTTATTGTGTAGTTCGAGACTGTGAAACGGGTCTTTGAGTATAAGAACGGTTTGCCTAATAGAAAAGTGAAACTAGCTGGTATCAAAGTAAAAAAAATATGATTCATTGTGGTGAGAGAACCTGAAGCGCATATGTCAGTGTGAGTGAAAAAGTAAGATCACAACCTGGTCAAAGATGAAAACAAGATGCAGCTCAAATGTCGACAAGCAAATTACAAAAAATAATGTGTTCTAAGAACTTCAACACTTACAATAGAAAAAACTCTCATTAGAGAAGTATATTGTTGAATTTGGGCAACTTACGTTGAGAAATAAGTTATTGGAGCCCAAAGAGAATAATATAACATAGTATCTTGGAGGACTGTGATCGTCAATTGGCAACCTAATGCAGTTATAGCTCTATTGGACATTCAAAATACCCAAACTTTAGCATTGAAAATAGGGAGACGACATAGTAGTATCAAGTCCGCACCAACCTTCCAATATGATGCAGTCATCGAATCAAGCAACAAGACCAAACTAAAGAGAGGCCCGAGACTTGTCCCTCATGAAGAGAAACCAGCATAAAAGGAAAAGAACTTATTAGACCAACATCCCCAAAATATTTCTAGAAAAAAAGAGTTTCAAATGTCAGGGATAAGGGCACATTACATCCAATTACCCAAACAAGAGTGATTTCTTTTATTGAGAGGGGAGCAATGGAGGCGGCAGAGAGTGAATACCTAGAGGACGAGAAGAATAGAGTATCAGCTACGTGTGAATGATGGAAAAATGCATGTGGTTCGGCAAGTTCTCTAGACCGAGCCCAAGAGTTAAATAACCTCTTCTTATGTATCATATATGGTGCATATCAAATTCAATTATTCATATCATACATTAAAATCACCTAAAATTCACCCACCCCACCCCCTCAATAACCAACACTCCTTGATGTGGCCAAAGTTCACAAATGGAATAATTTCAACTCCATGAAATCAATTCATTGTTCAAATATAAATCTAGACGAGCCTTAAGCATTATATTTTAAATATCTTTATGCTTAAAAATCATCTTATGGTTATATAAATGAGTTATGTGTCCTCTCATCATCCATATGCACTTAAAAATCATCTTATGGTTATATAAACGTCTTATGTGTCCTCTCATCATCCATATGATACTTAAAACAGCCAAAATCACTTTTATTGCTCTAATCAAAGCTCATGTATTGATAAGATGGAATTCGAATAACTTACATAAATATGGGTGAATAAGTGGCCTATCTATATTTCCAAATAATGTGTGGAGAATAATTAGTATTCATATCTCTAAATTTTAAGTTATGAAAACATAAATATTAAGTGTATCAGGTACCGGTTCCTACAATAGAGGGTCTATTCATCCTGTAATAGCTTCCTATATTATGTACATGAGAATCCCTATTTGGTGTCACCTAATTATTTAAGTGTTGTAAATCTCAAGCTGTAAAAATATTAAAATATGTTTTTCCTCTCTTTCAACATATATACCAATGAGTCGAGGACACTATTAATTATTTAAATGTTTGTCTTTACTTCGCTACACAACTCCTCCAAAAACCTCCACCCAAATGATCACCCTATTCAATCCAACAAGTTACACCTATCTCATTAACCACTCAAGTCCCCAAAATTTTTAACAACCTCATGAGCCCCACCAACCTCACCAACACATTATGCCCATACTTATTAAGGATGTGGAGCCAATTTGTATGCTCCAGGTTAAGCCAGATTTAGTGGAGAAAATTAAAACTAAGCTAGTGCTTGAATCTAAGCAGGCTATCTAGCTTAAGTTATAGATTGAATCTGAACCTTATGTTAACTCTACTCAATAGTCACCAAATGTTATTAATCTTCTACTACCCAAGTTAGAGTTATAATGTATTCTCCATCTAACAGTGTTGTTGTCACCATCAGCCCTACAAGTAAACTTTGTCACCATTTCTTTCACCATATATTGTCAAGTGATTGATGTCCATATTCTAGATTAAGTATAGTTAAATGATGAATGGAAATGTCTAGAGTTGGATCCACTCATGTGGTTACCCATTACAAGCACACTTGACTATAGAGTTCTCAATGAAACTTCACACATTCCACCAAAAATCACCTTGGATATTTGGGCAACCCATTATTTACATAGCCTAAGAATTTTTCTTACGTTCCAGTGAAGTATTTAGTTCATTCATGCCATAATTTTACCCTAGAAGCCTCCTAGGTTCCGCTCCTTGTCTAAGTGTCTGCCCTTACAATCGTTCCCCGCCCTCTTCAAACCATCCTCTTCAAATTTGGGATGTTGCATCCCACCGACCTCTACTTCATTCATACAACCTTTTCTCCAAAACTTTGATTAGATGCCTCTCCTATTCCAAGAATTTGCTTAAACAATCACAAAATTCCTCCTTCAAATTCATGATGTCATCTATTCTTTGAATCATAACCCGCAAAAAAATAAAAATAAAAACTTTCGGCAACAATTCCATTATTCTTACATCTGATTATCTTGATGCTATATAAGATCTCTACTTAATTAGAAGGCTCGAGAATAAATTAATCAATTTGCCATCCACACTAAAAATTATATCAAAACATGCAAGCAAATTTCGATGTATGCATCAAATTTTGGCCTTAACTTTCAGAAAAGAGCCTCAAGCCTATAAGTGTACCGTTCATCAAGACATCAATTCACATGTGGAAAGCATTTTTTTCTTCGATACTTGGGAAAGGAATAAGAAACAATGGCCTAATGGAACAATAAAATTATTTAGCTCAAAATAGCTAATAACACCAACAAATCCTACAAATCCTGAAATCTTGTACTAATCTCTGCCCAAATAAATCTAACAAAGAAATTATAAAAAACTTTCCTTAAAAATCAGCTCAAGCTAACTCAGCGGCAACGACAAAGCTTGGGAAAACTCCAGTCAGGGTTCAACAATATCCAGCCAATTTCCAAACATGGTTGACTATCTCGAATCAGTTCCCAGAGAGCTCCAACTTGGTGGCACCAACTTTAAAGTGTTTCAAACAATCCCACCTATGGAAATTCAAATAAATATGAAAAACAAGGATTTAAACTAAACCCATCAGAGCAATGGGTATAAATCATATTGTTATTGTCAAAGTCACATGCAACCAAACAACTTAGTATTTTCAATTCCAAAATGTAAGACTAGATGTTTCCCAAATACACGAGGATTAAGTATTTCAACCGAATAATTTTCACCTCCATACTTTTAAACCATAAGTTTCACAAATACACAAGGAAAATAAATTTAACCCAAGAAAATATCAGCCCTAAGAAGATTGATGACACAATTTAAACAATCATTCAGTGATAGCAGCATATCTGGCATTATTCTTAGCCGTTCTATGAGATGACAAGAGTTCAAATTCTTAAATAAAACTTAAATAACAAAAAACAAGCGTACCTGAAGAAGCGGATACCTCAAGGATAGCACATCAAGCAATTTCCTCGTCTGATTGGTATCCGGCGCAAAGGCAAGGTGCTCATTTCTATCCAGAAGCAGTTGCAAAATTCTTTCAAAGCTTGGAGATACTTCGCTTTTTCCCACTTCAATAAACATTCCCTTGCGAATATAGCTGAAAAGGAGCAGCAGTAGTGAGAAGCGGGAACCATCGTCAAGAGAACATTGGAAGAACTTGATAAGCTGAAGGAAAGAGAGACTTGTGCAGATTCTTACGCTTGTGCTGGATGCATTTGAGTATCCATTGTCGACCTCACGGCAATTAGCGACAACATGATTACCGTCGGCAGCAGAATCTGAACGTATCCCGATTAAAAGCCGAAGAAATCCAAGAGAAGGAAACATGCGCAATTGATTGAAGGAGAAAAAATCGATTGTTTACCTCCGCAAGGGTAGTGAAAGGGTGGCGAATCTTGAGTAGCCAATTCTTGCGGAGTATGGCTCTCAGCTGTCGCCATGAACTGCCCATCTAGCCCGTCCCTTGCTGAATTCCTCACTTCCTGGATTAGCTCCAAAGCCGAGATGATGCAAACCCTAACCTCGCCAGTCAGAAAGCTGCCGCCAGTGCCTTCGAACTTTCCAACGAAGACTTGCCGGTGGAGCGGCAGATGTACTGGAAAAAGCATCGATGGGAAGTGTGACACGCATCCGGCCCGGCGTTGTTCAAAGCGACTGCGTATTTATACGGTAACTCAGAAATTGGAAGAATATACAATAAAAAATATTTTTTCTCATTGTTCAGGTAGCAACCTGTTGCATCAGTTGGACGTATAATGTGCTATAATATTAAGATAATGGAAATTTTACGTCATGATCAAATAATTTTTATGTATTTACATATTGAATATCTAATATTTAATATTATATTTATATAGTGAATTTTAAATCGAACATAAATAAGAAGAGTGAGTGAGACACAGATAGAAGTTAACAGTAATGTATGTACTTTATTCATAAAATGATACGCTTATTTATAGAGAAGATGGAATAATCATGATATTACATTTTTGTCACTTCTTTAAAGTGACTCGTACTAAGGTATTTTATATGTAAAGCTTATTGTCCGACTATTCTTTGGTTCGGCTGGTTAAGTTTAATTGGCTTTGGGTCAGTGGAATCGGTTTGGTTGACTGAACTTGATCGGCATGATCAACTCGACTGGTTGAGTCTAGTCGGCATGAGTTTATTGGTTCTTCTAGTATGGTTGTCAATCCTTAATAACTAGTGAGGGACATCAGGGCGCCCCTGGAATGATTGGAGATACTAAGGAACTTGAACTTTCGGCTTTTTATATTGGTTGGTTTGGATGTATCTCAATTTTGGGTAAATGGTTCAGGTTTGGATCTTCTGGCCATCCTTTTATCTATTTTGAGGCTCAGCCGATTTTGACCTTACTAGTTTGGTCATTCTCGGCACAATTTTAAGGGGATCGTCCTTTGGAAGCTGTCGGTCGCCGAAATGGAAATCTCGTCGCCCGCTTCGGAAGGACATTTAATATATATATATATATATATAGTTTAGAAAAATATGAAATCAAATTGAATCCCAAAAGATAAACACAAGATTTGAGGGTGAGACTCGATCAAACAAACTGAGAAATATAAGACATTTATTTAGTATGCGAAAACAATTTTATTTGTCGAGAAGTTCCCCTATTTAATACAAAGACTTAAATAGGGTTTATATTAAGCCGGGTTCGGAGATCTGCGAAACCATTTTATGTTGACTGATAATTTCTCTTATTTAATACGAAAAATTAAATAGGTTTTATATTGAGCTAGGTTCGTTAAAGTTTCCTATAAAGACACGCCCTAATAGTTAATTATATCTTAGATAACTGAAGTCACCTAAGAAAACTCTTGATAAAAATAAGGAGATATTGTCTTCAAGAATTTCAAAGGATATGACTTTTCAAAAGATCGGACAAAGAGGTGTGAAAGAGGAATGATTCAAATTTGGAACATTTTATTTTTGGAATCCAAAGGAAGAAAAACTAGAGGATGTCACAGATCATGAGGAGAACTTCGATGACTTCCCAAACTATCCTACTATTTGGCTTCAATTCAGAGGAGAAATATTTAAGTGTTCCATCCTGCGAATTTTATTAATTAGGACTTACATTCACATGAAACGATCACACAAATAGCATAGAAGATGTGAGGATTTAGGTCGTAACAAACAACAACCTCAGAATCCTAAAATGAGTTAGGGCTGACATTATATAGCAGGGCAATACAAAGGCCTAAAGAAAAAGTGATGATTTATGTCGCACTAGGCGGACAACCTCGAAATCCTGTGGCTTATTATTTAATTTCTAAGGAAAGCCTAAGATTGATTTAGCTGATGTAGACATGTTTTGATGTTGAAGATGGTCGTGTTGCCCACAACGCTAGCTTCAAGCTCCTCGTCATAGTAAGTTTAAGTTTTCTAATGTGTCGAGTCTTGATGTTAAATCAAATGCACCTTTACGTTTGGTTATTTAAATTTTATGGGGGATGTTAAAGTTGATCAGAGCGACACCGGTTAGAATCCCACGGTTCCCTTATTCCGGTACCACTTTTTTCTTTCAGATTCACTTGTTCAAAATGAATTTACTAAACTCAACTTAATGAGTTCCATATTTTCATTTAAACCGTGGGAAATCTCGTTAGCAACTGTAGGTTTCCTCTATCGAGGGATTCCCAATCATCCGATAAAGACGTTTTAATTTAGTTACATTTTCTTTTTGTTTTATTTGTGATTAAATTTTGAATTATCTTATATTTTGACTATTGTGGCGGTAAATTTTATCTTATTTTGATTTCTTAATTTTATTTTTTTTTCAGTTCTGCGGCTATCCTGAAAGTTTCAATTTTGATATACAGGGTGACCTTGTTGTTTAACATGCAAGTTTATAAACAAGGAACAAGAGGTGCAAATAAAAGTAAATTGCAATGCAATAATTTAAAAGCGTACTTGTCGACTTTTCCTGTTCCTCCACCTGAAAGGTCAGTATTTGCAAGACATATATATGTAATTTTGGAAGAAAAGTTGAAAACACAGGTTTAAGGTATATCTATCAGATCCTATGTCATACTCTGGTGGGTCTAATTTGTTCATCTCAAGAGATGATTCCATTAAGCAAATCATAATAAGTCCAAGTGTCATCCGAGATTCCCAAAGGATTATGAAAAGTCCTGGGTGATACCCTAGACATTTCATAGTCCCTCGAATTGTCTCGAGTTCACCTTGGTCTTATTATGTTTGTTATGTGGTTCACCCAATTCATACCCTTACGCTTAGTGAATTTTAATGTTTTCATCATCCCTTGAAGTGGGGTAATTATCATTTGATGTTTCACTTACGAAAATATTTCAAATTATTTATAGGTCATTAACTAAACCTCATTAGATAAAATTTTGATCAAACCTAATTCACTACTAAACCCTTAAAACGTAATAGGTAGATTTGTAATTTTTAGAAAAAAAATTTGAATATATATACTTTTAATCCTTATCAAGAATCATAAATCATTTTAAAACCATTGATTAGGGTTTTAAGTTAGTGGGTTATGATCTTCGAAAGTCAAACCCCTTACCTTAATATCTTCTTATTTAATTATTCTTCTAAATTTCATCAATTTGAAAAATTACAAATTTATCTTTAATGAGACCAGAGTGAGATTGCTTGCTACCATTTATCCCTTTCATGTTTCAATCATCAAAACATATCAATTAAGATCATTTATTACCCATTTGCTCTTTGGTTATGCCTAATATTAATTAAGGCTTATATTCCAAAATTATCCTTTTGCCCTTAAGGCCTTAACATCTCTTAATTCATTAAATCAAGCTCAAATGACTTTAAAAATTTTATGTTACCCCACTAATGGATTAATTAAAACATCATGGGAGACAATGTGATTTTTCTGGATTTATTTAATTTTATAATTATTTTAATGAAAAATAGGGATTTTCAATGGAAAATTTAATAACTCAACCAAACAACACTTTTGTCCATAAGAAAATTATTGAATGTTTACCTAGGTCAGAGGACTTCTTGAAGCTATTTTCATGATTTTTAGAGGTTTAATTTAATTATTATAATTATTTATTTCTTTTGAGTATTAATTAAATATAAAATATTATTTAAATGGAAAATCAATTTTATAATTTTCTTAAATTTCTCTAAGTTCAGAGAACCCGAAGAAATAAATTTCATATCTTTGTGATTTATATTTTTATTATTAAAATTATTTTAATGGAAAATTAAAGAAAATTCATTTTTAAGCCTTCAAAAATTAATATCTTCATTTAGAAAATTAGAAAAATTATTTTAGTTGGTCCCAAGTGATTAGAATGTCAATGTGACATTTTGGTGTGCTTTTACAATTTTGTAATTTTGCAATTTTTATGATTTTTTAATTAATTTTTAATTATTTAAATACTTAAAAATAAAGTATTTATTTTAATTATGCTTTTATTTTTCTTAGGTTTCTCTAGTCAGAAGGAGCTCCCAAAACTAATTTGGTGATTTTTTTAGTTGTATTTTAATTATTATAATTATTTTAGTGTCAAAAATGTCATTTCCCTTAATTAATCCATTTTAATGTCAAATTAATTCCAATTGACATGAAATTTTATGGGGAGCTCCTCTGAAATTAAATTACAGTGGAGAATAATTTTTATTCCATTTACATTTATATTTAATCTAATTTAGTTTTATTTCATTTTTAAGGTTTGGGGACAATTAGGATTATTTTTAATGAGTTAAACCACGTTTATATTTTTCCTAGGGTCCTATATTTTTCCTAGGGTCCTCTTTCCTAGGGTCCTCTAACCATAGTGAACATACCAAAACAAGTTTTATAATTTTCTGATCAATAATTTAAGATATGTATGACACACTTGAAAAATAGAGATCTCTGCCTAGAGATCTCCCCTGACCTTGGAAATATCAGGGAAAATCCCTCATGACAGAGAGAACCAAAACCTCAAAAATCATGTCATGGTGAAATGTCTATGAAAATGGAAAATCCAAATAAAAAATACACCATTTAATTAATTAAAAATCATACATGCATCAACCAAACGTGAAACCATTTCCACATTGTTCTCATCTGTTCACTGAGCAAGAGAGTATTTTTATTTTATTTTATGATTTTTCTACACCAAGATATTGATTTTTAAAGTTCTTGACATTAAATAAATAAAGAAAATCCCTATTATTCTATTTAAACCACGCGGCGCCTCGCAATCCTCGGCGGCTCCGAACTTTCCACGCGACGTCTTCTGGTTCCGTGCCGCCGTCTGAGTCAGTATGAAGAATCATAAATCATACTCTTACTTTGATATTCAAATTTTTATCATACTTTTAAACCACACGCCACCGTCTGAGTTAGTATCAAGAATCATAAATCACGCACGCCGAGGATTGCGTGGCGACTGCATGGCGTCGCGTGGTTTAAAAGTATAAATATTCAAATTTTTATGCGAATAAACATGGAGAATTAACTTATCAAATATGTAAAAATATTATGGTGTGTATGTAAATTCACAAAAAAAAAAAATCTAATAGAAAGTATAACTTTCCAACAAAGGAGTAAGAAAATATGACTTTGCAAAAGTGCATATAATCCTCCAAAAGAAAAACTCTAAAAAATCACTTCACCAAAATCTCCATCAAAACTCCACTAAAATATTCTCATAAAAATTATTCACTAAACTCTACCCAAACTCTACTAAACTCCACCAAAAATTTCATCAAAGTCAATTACCAAAACCCCATTCAATACACATCTATAAAAAAATATTTCATACTATTTTAAAATTATTTAAGTTAAAATATTTAAAATCATAAGAATTACATATTTTCTCAACAAAAGTAATTCATACAAAAATATAAAATAATTAAAACTTCTAAAAATATAAAATTTAGTTTATAAAAATCATATTCACTTTTCTAAGTGATTTGTGGGGTCTCATAAGCTCTAGTAGATTAAACACTGATGTATGTCCTCCAAGGAATATGTAGATGGGTCCATTTCAATTTCAACATATTGCATGTTCTCATGCAGCTCCCCCTGCCTGTGTGAAGGGTACTTCAAATTGAATCCTCTATATCACATCAACTACAATTAACTAAACTTATTATAACATGACAAACATGTGTTTAATATGACTAAAATGACAAGAATTTTGGTTTTATATTTCCTCAAGTCCCTCAAGACTTTCTTAAAGAGAAAAATCATTTTATTACTACATATAAAAGAAAGAGTCAAAAATATATATGATGTAACAAATGCCAAAATATACTAAATATGTAAAATCATAAATACCGTCCTTCACATAGAAGTAGTTAGAGTTAATAAGATTAAAGGTGGAAAAGCTAATCATTCAAAACACTCATATATTCTTCATGATTTTCGCATAATTGAAGGGATCCACTTTTAAAATCAAAGTATCAAGGATTTTTTTTTTTTTGGAAATATAAATGCTTCAAATATTTTTTTTTTGAAATATAAATGCTTCAAATATCACCCAAATAATAATTGTATTGATAAAAAATCTTAATATGAGATGACTTTATTTTCAAAATGCTCTTAAATTCCAATGTAGATCATTTCAAGCTCAAATATAGGAATAAATGCAAAAATATACAAAATATTCAACTGCGACTTCTCACTTGTATTTAAATAAAATTATCTATTCATCCACTGCAACAGCTTATCGAGAGTGATAATTCAAGATACTCTCTTCTCAAAAAAAAAACCAATATCATATCAGACATATCTCTATTATCACCCAAGAAAGGTTGCACCTTAATAAAGATGTGAGAAATGTTGTTTGATTGAGTGATTTTATTGACAAACAACACCACAAAAGGGGTGATTATGATTGTAGAACTATCATTGGGAGATTTGCCATAAACTAACATCATTAAATTATTATTTGAACTAAACCTCACAAATTTATCAATGGCATAAATCTCATGATTGAAGAACCATAAATTTGATATAACATGAAGCCATTTGCTAGGTAAAGCCAACTTAAAAATATTTTCGTGGACAAATAATCACCATATGTCCATAAGGTCCACTTAGATGAGGTCACCCATGACTACCGATAAGTAACCTTTTATCAAGTTAGATTGATTACCTCCACTAATTAATTAGATCAAGTTTGTGATAACTTTAAATAATAAAATCATAGGATTTTAATTTGATTTTTCGTCATTCTCCCTTTCATTAACACTAAGCACATGGTAATAATTTTTTTTGTTTGTTAAACCAAATCCCTCTTAATATAAGTTATTTGGTTAGCCCATATTGATTAGCCTTAATTAAAAGTTTTTTTCTTATCTTTGAGAAAAATAATTAAACATAAACCTAAAACTATTAGAGCTAGATCATAAAATCCTTATAAAATAAAAAATATGCCTAGTGTCTCATCTAAATATTCAAATATCTTATGCAAATTTGATCTAAAAATAAACAAATTTCTCTTAGAAGGGCTAAGCATAAATATTCAAAGCCCCCATTATTATGTCCCAAAGAATTACAAAATAATAGTACATGCCAAAAATTTTAATCTATCAGAACTTTTATTTGTATTCAATAATTCCTGAAATAATTTTTCATGCATTTATGTAATTAAGTATCAAGAAAGAATTTACTCTAACTTATTATTTTACTTTTGAATATTTTTATTAGAAACTAATGCACTCTTATCTGAAATTTACTTTTAGAACATCAATTAAAAATAAAACATTTCAATGGATTATCTGATTCTTAATTACAAATATTAAAAATAGGATTAATTACTTAAATATAAAATGAGTTTAAATTTATAAATAATTAAGTTATTTAATAAGTAAAATTTTTTATTTTATAAATTAATTTTTTGCATATATTGCATCATTATGAGTATATTTAATTTATTAAGAGTTGTAATTCATCGGGACCTTTATGATGGCACATATTCATTTTTTGTTCCAAAATTTGGTCTTCAACACATTCTTTATACAAATCTTTGAGTTGTAATCTTTCAGGTTGTCTTATAATCAAGGGCCACTTCATGTGTGAGACTATGCCTCATAAACTTTTGTTTGTCATTCTTGTGCTTTAAGTTGTAAGACCCACCAATCTTACTCCTCAAGTGTCCTTGTACGTGCTAGGCTTCTTGTTTAACACTTGAGCAGCATCTAAGTAGAGATGTCTTATGTCTTAATTTTAGTCATTGACCATTTCTTTGCTTGAAAGCATATCCTTTTGATTCAAGCTAATATAGCCACCCATTATTTGTCAAACCTGATATGTCCTAGTGTCCTTAGGTATGTTGATGTTCAAACTTTATGTTGAGAAAATCTTAATTACTTAACAAACTACAAGAAAGATAGCGTTCTCAAATATCATATATGAAATGCAATTAATCATAAGAGTTTGTGCCCAAAAGAAATCCCAATCTCCCAAAATTTAATAAATCACATTTGGTCATTCTTTGCCAATTACAAAACTTTTTAGGACATTTTTAATCCATCTTCCATTAATTCTCGCATTGAGTACTGCCTTTAACCCTTCAGTAGATGGTATACTCTTTCGACCCAAGGATATTTTGAGCCCAAATTGGTTAAAGTTGCTAGCATGTGACTAGTCTAAATTTTGATTTTGGTTTGTAGCATGAGATTTGGCTTCAAATTGATTAAGCTTAGTTGCACTATAACTAGCCCATGATTTAGATTCGTTGGCCACATATCCTTGTTCTTACAAAAGTCGACCTAGGGAAGGTCTTCCATCTCGTCCAAAAAACCAGAGGTTTTTCATATTGTTTGATCTTAAGGCATGTTTTCCTTAAAAACATCTAAGAGCGCTAGGGTTTGAGTTTATATCATCACCGAAAACTTAACCCTGTGTTGGGGTTTATAAGCGAGTTTGGGTTCATATTATCACCACAAATCAAATAAGAATTGAGCATTGCATCCTGTGAAAATCAAAGGGAAATGGTGTCACTTCATTACCTCAAGCCTGAGCTTGGGTTAGACCATCATATCTTGATGAAGGTTCAAGAAGCTTTGGATTCATATCATCGGCGCAAGTTTGGTCCCAATAAGCTAGAGAGCCGTATCGCAGCAATGAACTCACCCTAAGGGGTTGTTTTGCCAGACAGACGACAACAATGACACTTTTAAATTCTAGATTCCATAAATTTGGTTTCTTCTTAATTTCATCCTCAGTTTTGCTTTAAATCCTGAATTAACCAAATCCTACTGTTGGTAAAATTTAATAGATCCAGATTCACATCATTTACTAAAGTAACTAAAACCATTACCAAACAGCCCGAAGGTTGGGTATCACACACAAGATTGCACAAAGAGTACTAGATGAAAGCAAAGCGGGTAAAAAATAACAGCCTGAAGCTGCTACAATCAACAATTGTAGTCATGTAAACAATAATAAATATACAGACAGAATCGTTCAAGATTCTTTATTCTCGCATTAAATTAATGATTACTTGTCCAATCAAAAAACAACAGCTCCAAGCAGAAGAATAGATAAAACTTCAATTTTAAAGGTGAATTCATTTGAGTAAATCAATAGTCATAAAACAAAGAGAACCTTGAAGCGTCTGCACCACCATGCTTGTAAGATACTAGGGCTTCATGAGCCATTGAATCCACAAATTGTTGCAATCAAATGATGCTTTTGCTTGGATCAACGCAGCTTCCCGGTGCTGCAATAGCAAATTTGTGGAAGGACAATCCTTATTCTTTTTCCTAGCAGTTTTCCTTGAAAGACTCTTCCATTTTGTTTCAAACTTGCAGGCTACTACAACATCAGAAACTAGCTGAAACCATCAATCAAGCTTAATGAAGCTCTCCCATGGTTAAGGGATGAGCACATGAAAAAGATAACACAGGTTGGTCATTATTTCAAATAATGCTAGCAGAGATCATTAAGTTCAGGTACACACATAAGCACATCGCAACATAAGAAGGAAATTTGGTGAGGCAATCTTGGTAGTGAAGAATGCCATGGTCTTTGGATTGGTTTTTAAAAAAGTGAAATATATGGCAAATCAATCAAAACCTGTATTTTACTCATCTTGAAAAGAATTCAAGGAATTTAAAATCCAGTCCGATTGAATTTATATCAAGATATATACTTTATTTTTTTTCCTAAACAAAATAATATCGAATCATTTACACTATGGCTTAATCTTGGGTTGTTCTGCTTTAGCTTCTAAAAGCTCATTTTTCAACCACAATTAAAGGCTCGTTTGAGGAAATTTTCCTGCTGCTTTTCATTTCAGAAAAGTTTCTTTGTTCATTTGATGAGTAGTTTGGTTATCATGCTTTTTTAGAAACGCTTATAAAAAAAAATCATTTTTTTGGCAATTCAAGCCATGACTTCTATCAAGCTTTTAAAAACGGCACTTGTAAAAACAGTTTTTTAACCAGCTTTTTCAAAAATACGCCTAACTAAACAAAACATAAGTAAACTTTATCAAAAATAGCTTTTCAAATTTAACTTTAAAAAATGAGTTATCAGATGGCTGCCATATAACTTTTTTTTTTCCTTGACTGTTTCTTACCACAAAAGCAGTCAAAATGCTATTCCAAGAAAACCTATAGCTTACCAAAAAATATTGATACATGTACAAAAGTGCTAGGAAGCATGCAGCATATATATGGTTAATATCATACTTCGTCAAGTGTTTAATCCCTTCGAGTTCAAAATATTTTGCAGTTATTCCTCTTCTGAAACTTCTGAAAGATAAAGTTCCCAAACTTCGCACGACAACACTTGAATGCTAGTAGCAGTACCATAGGTGGTGAGGCAGGAGTGTGCCTCAGTGAAAGACTAGATATTCACATTATATCGAGTGACCGAAAAGAAGGAAAATCATGGAGTTCAAATGTTGACAAGAAACTTCTTAGATGTTTAGGGAGAGGGGCAATCTTTCTTTTTGGGATTCCACATAGGATGAGGTTTTGGCTATCACTTAAGTTCCTAATTCTCCAATTTATTAAAAAAAGATTTAATAGGACACCTCAAATCCATAGCAATCTCAATCTTAAAAAACACCTTAATCATAAAGACCAATGGCCTGGATCACTCAATTAACCTTGTAACTTCTATCTTTAGCTAAGGTAGAATCCCTTGCTCATCAAGGTACGCTAAACGATCTCACTGAACAATCACAAAGTGATAGAGAATTGTCCACAATTACCAAAGGTATGAGGGATTTTCCTACTATTAAATTTCAAGTAGTGATCCGCTATCTGAATGACGATCATTCTCTAAGAACCATTCATCTTCCATAAGATCCTTGAGACCATAAGAGTCAACAAATTCCTTAGTTTCATTTTTTTTATCAATGCCTCTTACCATAACTCTTTGGTTGGAAGAATTTCTTAGGCCCATGAGGTTGGTCGGGAGGCTCTTCTAATAGCCTCTAGCCAATCTTTTCTCTCTCTCACTCTGTATTTAATTACTCAATGGCACAAATCAGAACAAGCAAACCAGGGAAAAATAACTCCCATCAATAACTTAGGCGTCTCCAGCTTGCTTTGCTAGGAAGTGAACTTTGCACTGCTCAACTGTGTCCTCAGGGCTGGTTACTGCATGGCCCACTGTCCTTTCGGATTCGTAAATCTCATAGTCATTTCCGCCCTTGTATGTTTTGTCACCAAAGAAGTTGATTTCAGGAAAATCTTTGAGGTATTGTAAACAGTATGTCTTATCCCATCCTTGGGGGAATACATTAAAACTTATATGTCCCCCGAAAGAAAACGTGAGATGTAAATGTTCAAACTTTTTGCGAAGTACGGAGACCATTTTTGACTGGATGTTGTGAACTTTATCATATTTCTCAAAATCATCACGCTCCTCTTGACTACAGTTTCGTCCTATTGGAGAAACATTTAGCATTCCACTTTTGAACTCTATAAACGTTCCTCTTTTTACTGGAATATCGAGGTCAGCAATGTAAGCAGCGTGAAATTAATAAGTTCCTTGAGTTTTTCTTCACCAAGAAAAGATTTCAAGTTCTGTTTGCCAATAAGTTCGCCATTTTTGTATGCAACAAGGCCATTTTCAGCAAAGACATAATCATAGTCAGTGATAACTGACTTTCCAAGCTGCTCTGATATTTTAACCAGATCAGACCCTCCAACAACACCAACTGTAACTACCTTCCGTAGGTCTTGCATAAATTCTAGCATCTTTAGAGTTATTGCCTTCCAGGGAGCCGTGAGGGTACCATCAACATCAAACAACACAATTAGCCCTGGCATCCTCCCAACCATGCTTTTCAACTATCCGAGCAAATGCAGATTCCGTTAGCGGACCGGAAACCTGACGAGGCTCGCCGTCGTCGGGTGGCTTCCGGCGAGAACGCGTGCAGATATCTCTCTCTCTCACTCTGTGTCTATATATATATATATATATAGGAAGATTTAAATACATACCACCCAATTCTTATGTATTTACATATCTAAGAACTAACTTCAATTTTTACATGACCAATTCCCAATGCATGAAAAGGTATATTTCACTTTTTAAATATTAAAATAGTGATATATTTGATGTGGTATGAAAAATATGGGCCATATAAATGTAAGAAAACAAAGTTTAGGTCTTAGATATATAAATACATAATAATTGGATGTTATGTATGTAAATGCCCTATGTATGTATGTGTGTATGTATATATGTATGTGTAATCAACATCTAAGAGCTGATCAATTAAGCTGTGCAATTTGGCTTAATTACTGCTTTGCTTTTTTCTGTTTGGGCACCATATAGCTGGTATTAATCTGTTCATCTGCCCTAAAAGCCTTTAGATGGTAAAACCAACTAGTCAACAGTGAGCTGAACAAAAAAGAGTATAAACATAAGTTACATAATGATTTTTTGGGCTGATTTTTCATCTGCTAAATAGCAGTGATGCTATGGTCATTTTGCTTTTGTTAGGGTGTCGAGGCATTCATACCAATTTAGTTGTAGTCTATTCTTGTGAAAAATTATTACATTAGAACACCGGACACAAAATTTGCGTCCGGAGTCCAGTAGAAGTGTGCAACGTGGCAAGTGAGGCCCCACCCCTCTAAAAAACTTACCCAAACAGTGTATTACAGTAGGGCCCACTTGCCACGTGGCAAGTGCCCACTGGATTCCGGACACAAATTTGTGTCTGGTGTCCTGATGCAATAATGACTCCTAATCTTGTAGATCAGTTAATGTCTCAGACTCTTTAAAATACTCACTATTGCAAGTTTGTTGATTCGTTTTTGTAATGGGTATTCCACCCTTTTCTTTTTCAAGTCTATAGTTTTCATCACTTTCTGATGAAGAAAGATGATGAAGTTTGAACAACTCCATCCAAAACTGCATGCGTGCCTTCAGAAGTTGATGCATGGATGTTTCTTAGCACAGAAGCTAGGCTGTTTGGTTTGAGGAAAAAAGGATATAAAATAAAAGGCAGAAATGTATTTCAAGTTTTTTTTAAGTATTTGTTATTAAATAGAAGAATAATTTAAGTATATTATATTCACATTAGTCCCTAGCTTTTTTTGCACAAGAGATTCGGCCAAATTAACCATCCTCGGTTAATCGAAGAAACATTGATAGTTGTTATCGCCAGGAACTTCATTTCATTGATGGGTTTTTTCACTTAAAAGAAAATAACTTCGTTTTTTCACAAACTTTCTCGTTGATTAAAATAAAATTAAGTAACACCCTGCTACAACTCATATACAAAGATTAATAAAAGGAAGCATAGTGGAATACCTTCACTACGATCTTTGAATCCTTGTATAATGCAGGCGAGAGACCATGGCCTTCCAGCAGATGAGGCTTTTGCTCCACCCTTTAGTTCACCATTATGTTGTTTTAGTCTGTGGAGATTCATTTATTATTAAAAAAGAATTCTACATCATGTTCACTTCCATAATTAAGGGCTAGTTTGGGAACACTTTTGTTTTTTTTAATTTTTATAAATATATTTGTTTAACATATTTTTTGCACGTTTTAATTTTTATTTTTAAAAACAAATTGTTATTTAAAACATGCAAAACATCTAATTTTATTTTGAATATTTTTTAAAATAATAAAAAATGTTATAACATCTCAAATATATTTTATTTGAAGTAAAAACATGAACAAAACAAAATAAAATTAAATTAAATTAAAAATCAAAATCAAAAGTGATCCCAAACGGTCCCTAAATAAACACTTCTATGAAATCAAGCAAATATGGCTTAAGAAATTAATGATGGATGTTTCAATTTCTTATTTTAATTTTGTTTTTGACCTTTTCTTTTATGTTTTTATTTTGTTTTTGAGTTTTTTTATGTTTGGATAGTTTTTCTTAATCTTGCTTGCAAAAAACAAAATAAGATAAAACATTTTGGATTATAGAAACATAAAGAAGAAAACATGTTTCTAATTTAAGAAACCCTAGTGTGATTCTTGAAATTCTCATAAGTATCAAAAGGCATCATTAGCATACATGCGGAAGATCATGTCTAAAGCATTAAAGATCAAGACACTTCAACTTCACATAAAAGCCTCTTGAAAACTCATTTGGAAACAAACATTCACTCAAGCAATGTTCGGCCATTACAAATCCTTTCGAATTTTTAATCGCATTGAAAACATGAAGACACTTTAACTCAATTGAATGGAAAGGTCGCATATCAAAGATGTTTTGCAATTAGAGAATAATTGTGAAAAATATGAAAAGAATCAAAGTGAGGAGCTACAAGTCTTGGTTGGGATCATATAAAGAGGACTACTGATGCATACAAAAAATGGTGTAATATTATTTCTCTAGTCAGACTATTCCACATATATTTTTTTAAATCATTTCATATATCAAAATATTTAAACTCTTATAGGTTGTACCAAATACAAAAAAGTTTAAATTTAGTGGCATTGAACCAGAATTAGAAGAGAAAGTAGACCAAATACTTGGTAGAGTCATTGACACTAGTGCTCGTGCATGAACCCCAAGTCAAAAAGTTAACATTAATGTATTTGAGCATGTAGATTATGAGCACAAAGAAGACTCGAGTGGAGGATTTGTTAGTAACGTAATCAAATATATTGGATCCCATCACTCGAACGATAGTAATCTTTGCAGCCTAGAAGTGAAAAAAAGAAAAAAAGATCAAGAAAATCAAATTCTGCAACTAGTTACTGCAAGCACAAATATTCCCTTTGGGCCTAGACTATCACTTGCAGCAGTATCTACCCAGAAGTTATGAAAATACTAGAGAAAACTGCATAAGTTTATGAAAAAATAACTTTGTACTTTTATTCAATGAAATCATTAGAAGATCCCACTAAGAGAATTTTTTTATGACAATGGCGCTTGAGCATAGGGTCAATTACATACTTTTCTTTTATAGCAATAGTGATCTATGACTGTAATAAGTATTTAATATGTTACTTCAGTGTACTTGTTTAATTTATTACATAAACCTACTCATTTTCATATTTACATTATGAGTCACATTTTATTTCTTGTTATTTCATCATTCTATTATGTTTCATGTTTTTATAGACAATGATGAATACTAGTGATAGACAGCGCCTGAAATAAATTATTGTAGCAGTTATATGCTTAATATATGAATATTATACTTCATATTTTGAGCGTACACCTTGTATGACATCATCATATATTGGGGACAAATGAATTGGTGCGAGCGGTAGTTTCAAGTTAAAGGAGAGTTTTGCTCAATTGCTCCATTAGCATTAAATAGTTTCTCACACACAATAGAAGCTAAAATCTATCTAAAAGGGAAAAAAAGAAAGAATTACATGCATACCACTCAATTCATATGCATTTACCTATCCTACAACAAACTTCAATTTTTACATATATCTCACCTTACCTAATCATGAAAAGGTGTATTTCACTTTTCAAAAGTTAAAATGGTTGTATTTTTTTATGTGATCTAAAATATTACATGGCATAGCTGTAAAAAGTAAAGTGTAGGTGCTACATATGCAAATACATAGGATTCGGAAGGAGTGTATGTAAATGTCCCCTAAAAAATTAAGAGAATCTATGACATTTAAGATTGATATTGGTGCAGTATCAATGTCATAGTAAATGTTTCAGGCAATGAGGAAAAATGGTGAAGAATGGGCAATTCCCTGGCACAAGAAAAGATTTTCCAAGGACCTTCTATATAATGAAAATGCTAAGCTTTATATCAGTGTATTGACACCAAATACTTGGAAAATTTTTAAATTTATAGTTCAAATGATTAACGTTTCGTTCAGTTCAAATTTGTATCTTTCAGTTAAATATTAAGTTTACTTTTGTGTCACCCAATGAAATTTCACATGTTTCGTATGAAATAGTAAGTTTTTTCCTGATCCGTTGGAAAAATTACACCGAAATTATGACCTCCATGACTCCTCTACGATGACTTCAAGAGATATGTTAGCTATAACCCTCTATAATTTATCATATAATGAGTCAATTAGGACAGCCATGAAGCGATTTCAATATTTCTAAAAGATAATTGGTATATATTTTTCAGTTGGTTTAAATATTTTGATTAGTCTATCTTAAAAGATTCTAAAACCTAAAGACCCAACATTTCAAAGAATGCTCAGAGAATTCACATGATCTCTGCTGTATGAATATTTTAATATAGACTTCAGTACTCATCTTTTCAAAAATATTTTATGTAAACAACTATTCTAAACTTCTAAGTTACATGATATATGATTCCATTGGTGCTATTGATGAAATACATATTAACGTGTGTACCTAGAAGTGAAATACATATATGATTCTTTACGGGGTGCTATTAAAAGGACATTTGATATTTAGAAAAAAATAGGTTATTCTTCGAGATATGTTTGCATATCCTTTCGAAAAACAGGTGAAGATTGTGACTGCAACAATGACTCTCCATAATTTTATTTGTCGACATCCTATAACAATTGACATTGATTTTAGTAGTGCTGACGAAACTCAGTAGCATGTTCCTCCTAAAACATATGAGTAATGCTTGAGACAGTCAATTTCACAAAATGATTGTGGTATCAGAGATCTGACTAAGTTACGAGAGCGGATTGCACATGCATTAGTTAATGGAGATTATTGTATGTCATCATTTGAAAATAGATTATTAATCTCTTTATGTTGACTCTTGTTTCAATGTTTTATGTATGGATCCTATCATGATTGTGTTTTTCTTATTCATTGCTATGAGCATGTTGTATTTGAACCCACTTAGATGGCCTCCAATACAACCATTGTGTGTTTCATGTGTAGGTTTTTTTGCATGTAATTTATTCAAAGGTATATGATGATATATATGATCTTAAGGGTTCTTCTGGATGACCTTTATGTTGCTATGGTTTCTGACTTATACGAGTGTTTGTATCAAGGCAACCAAAATCATATTATTTCTGATTCATATGACCTAGAGGCTAGGGGTTCTTTTGGAGGGCCTTTATGCTGATATATTTTTCGATGTATATGAGTTCAGTATTAATCGCTTAAAGGAAACTAAGATCCCCTTATTTTTAGATCCTCAGCCTTCTTATAATGGTAGATTATTCATTTATTTATTCTGAGACCTCATTTTCATTTAATTATTCTTATTATTTAACTTTCTTGTAACTTTGTCATTGCAACATTAATAGAAGTTCATTTCATTTCTTAAGCTCTCGTTTGTCGAGAAATCAGAGTTCAAGGACTTCTATCGTCTCTAGAGTGATATAATGCAACTGTGAATTGCAATGATGTGTATTTACATCACGATGACAAAGTAACTATGACAGAAGATTTTATAAGTGTCCCATAATAGATTAGTAGAAAACTGCAGGTTCTTTAAATGGGCTGATGAAAGAGTCCACCTCAAATAGTCACCATGCATAGAGAATAACTTTAGAAAAAAAATTTCAAATAGACTTGATCGTTTGGACATCAAAAGTAATATTACGATCATACTACTTGCTTTCATTATGATTTCTATTGTTGGGTTGGTCAGTGTTATGTGATATAACTTTTAATGTAAATCTTGAACTTGTGACATTGTCAGAATTTCTGAAATTCTGACATGCATTTTTAGAATTTCTGAAATTCTTTCATGTTATGTATAAATTAATTTTAAAATGATTAACTTACAAATAACACATATATGTAAGGGCAATAAGGTCTTTATTTCAAAATTAGTTGCAGCGCAACTGATGCACAGTTGAACTAACCAAACGGATACACAACTTCATCAATAATAGATTTCTCATAACAACTTCTCCCTACAGAGTTGCTTCTTTAAACAGTAGTAGCTACCTAAACATACCCTAAATTTGGCACCGTCACTAAGAATCATCTCTCTTTACAATCTTTGATGTTATCAAGCACAAAATTTATTAGAAATTTCGGACTTATATCACACAATATATTGTTGTGAGAAAGCTTAGAAGGTGAGGATTTGCATTGTTTACTTAAAGAGATTATATGGCTAGGTTCAATAAGGCTGACGGGTGAAAATGATAGTCACGGCCCTGTGTTTGGAAGGGAAGACTCTGGCATGGTATTAATGGAGAGAACAACGTTAGCAAATCAGAACATGAGAAGAATTCAAGGATCGGTTGTTGAAGCGTTTCAGAACTACACGGTAAGGGGATTTACATGAACTATTTTTTGCATTGGTCCATGAATAGTTCATCGTGGAATTAAGAGAACTTTTTGAGATGTTATCCAGTCATTTGAGAGGGATATAAGAGGCAGTATTGGAAGGAAAATTAATGAAGGGGTAAAAGCTAAAGATTCAAGCAACACTTCATCTTTTGAAACTGTGAGGAATGAGAGGGAATGTGGAAATTAAGGTAATTGATTTAAGATAAAAATGCAATGGAATTG